TCCTGAAAGGAAGTGTCAGGTATCTGAGTTAGTCAGGCAAGAAAAAATAAAACTTAATTGGGTTCAGCAGGTTGGTGAGATTCTAGGAGATGGAACCATGCGTTCATCTGGACCTAGAGATGCTCACTGTCAGTTTCTGGTGGTGCCTCTCTTCTTGGAGTGAGCAGCTATCATCATCCTATGTGCTCATAGGGCCTCTCCTGTGAGCAGGTGCAGGGAGAGCGTGGGCACCGGCTCATCCTCCTACACGTCACTAACCCTGTCTACTAAGGCGTCATCCTTATGCCGTCACTTAACCTTAATTATCACCTTGTATATTCCAGTGCTATAAATGGTTTCTTTGGGGGTCAGGGTTTCTACATGTGAATATTGGGAGGATGAAATTGAGTCTATAGGAGACTATGTGAAAACTCTAAAGCCACTCCCAAAGACACAAGTGTGCTGAGATTTTATTTAATCCAAAATCAATTTACTTTTACCTTTCATTCCCTCTGTAGGATCTTTCTCACTAAAATGGGGATGAGAGTGTGCAATATTTCCTGCTCAAAATGTGATAGAATTTTGTAAGTAGAATTACTTGAAAATTCAGAGAAAAACACCTGAAAGGCATCATCTGAACTATGAAGAGTAAATACTTTCTAGGTGTAAGAGATGGAATGAGGTGGGGGAGGTGGGAACCTCGTGTTTTCTACTGACTTTAGGAAGGTCTAGGTAGATAGGTGAGTGGATGGACAGATGGATGGATAGGTAGGTAATTTTATACATCTATATAAACAGAGGTACTGAAGAGACATATTCATTTGTAACTGAAAAAAAAACTGTAAATCTGGAGAAAATAAATTGAAGTAACATGCCGGAATTTAAGTAAATTTGTTGCAACTATCACAGCTAGGAATAAAGTTGACTGCCTTTTAGCACTCTCTTTAGCTAACTCAATCAGACTTCTGAATTTTTCTACTTCTCTTCTCCTGTTATGTTCCTGTGATTTTAAAGCTGAAAGTAGATTCCGTGAGAATCTTAGTTATTAATAACCAAAATGTTGAATGTTTTTCAAAATAAACTTCCTTTTTGGTTTTCACCATATCTATAGCTTCTTTGTACATTCTTATTTTAAAAATCTGATCTGAACTTACTCTATTTTAGGGACTCAAATATAAGAATATTGTCATATTATATAGGAATGCCTATTTAAATAATGTGTCACTAGTGGCTGAGATTTTACATTATTCTGAGTCATATAACTTCACATGACATGAAAATGACTAATGAAAAGAGGTAGCTTGGGAAACAACTCATCTGCTTATCCATGGGACTCAAGTCAGGAGACTCCTGGGTCACCCTGAAGTAACTCAGTTTTCCTAGCAAGCCAGCAGTCAGTGTGCCTGTCCATGGCATGAGGACTGTGAGGATTCCAGATCATGAGTCCTCAGTACAGTATGTACTTGAAAACCATTGACACTCTGTCATTGCAGAGTACGTATTCAGTGCATGTGTTCTAAGCAAACCAGATTGGTAAAATTACTAGCCAAAGTCATAGCCATTTAGGAATTAAGCTTCTGAACATGGTAAGAAGTAATGGATCCCTACTTTCCTCTAGATTCAAGAAGGACTAGAAGAATAGAAACTAGCTCTTAGATTATCAAAGTAGAAGGAAAAGAACCTGGAACACAAGAATAGGCACTAAATCCAATCACTACTTTGTAATTGAATCAAACAGTTTGCAGGTAGTTTAAATGATTTCATTGCTTTTAATATTCTACCATTAAACACCAAATGAGCAAAGTCTGGCCTCTCTTCCTCAGGATTAAATAGATTTCTCCTCCTCTCTGAACTCAGCCAACTTTCCCCCAGTATATTTTTAGTCTGAACAGGAAATACTAAAGACTAAGGAAGCTGGAATGTGACTGACCGACCTTTTACCTGTAATGATATCAGCAGCACTAATGTTTGCCACGGTAATGGTTGGGGGGCGGGGAGCTGAGGAGAACTCTCTGCTAGAGACATGAACAACTTCCTTCCATTTGATTCAGTGTCTTGCTATGTAGTTGTGCAGTGTTCTGCAGTCCCTTATGATGTCACTGATTTTAAAACAAGCCATACAACACATTGTATTTCACATTTACTCCTTTAGAAAGAAACTGTAAGAATACTATTACAGCGTTGTTTAACTCAAATGAAGATCCAGGTAGATTACTGAAATGAAAACTAGCAGTGCCCCTCCAGGGCATGCAGCTAGACCACACTCTGTAACCGCCCCCCCAAACTGTACCCTGTTAGGCTAACCTAAGTATGTCTAAATTATTGAAATGTACAGTCATGCAACACAAAGTAACTTAGCAACATTTTCTTCACTAATATGTAACAGTACAGCCTAATTATGCTCTGGAAACCTTTTACACTCAGCCATTAAATAACTGTTGAATAACTTTGGACCCAGTTCACAGAAAATCTTATATAACATTTGCTTCCTTCATAGTTGTAAACCAACAAACCATGACATCATCTTCCTTTCCTCTCACTTAATTACATGAACCATAATCAGGCTTTTAATTCAAACCAGGTAATAAGTATCCAGAGGCACCTATGGACATTTAGTACATATTAACTGAGAAACATAAATGTATTCTATTACCACCACCACCCCATCAATTCCCCTGAGAGTGCTGGGGACACTTAGCAAAATGCGTGCCCTTTTTCTACAGCCACTGACAGTGGTCTAAGATGCCATCACTCACCTGAATTATTGCAACTGCCCACTAACCATCTCTCCTGTACTGCAGAGCAGCTTCCAAACAGTAAGTTGCACATTACCTCTAACTTAAAGTACTCTCATGGATTCCCATTGCACCAAACTGTGAGGTGTGATTGAAAACTACAGTGAATGTTTCGATGTTTTAGTTTAACGAGTAGAAAAGCCATATTGGCATTAATCCCTCTCAGTCTCTCTCTCTCTCTCTCTCTCTCTCTCTCTCTCTCTCTCTCTCTCTCTGTCTGTCTGTCTCTTAACACACTTACGCATCATCCTTGCCTCTTCCTGAAGCACTTCTGCAAGTCCTCTTTCACATCTTTGGTTTTGCCACTGTGGCCACCTCAATATCCCGAATCAATTCAGAACTTTAATGGTCATCTTAAGTTTGAGGAAGTTAAACTCACCAGAAGCCTCACGGTGCCAGATCTGGTGAATAAGTTAGATAAGAATGTACTGTACGTTTTATGGTTTTTATGAGCCTACCTTTTCTGTTGGATGGCACCTGGCAATGGTGTTTTTAATCACACCTTATAAAGACACGAAAAAGAACTTCCAGAACTACTTCGGAAAGTAGCAAAATCAGTGACTTAGAGATGGATTAAATGGGTTCTGCATAAAGAGAGATTCGTATGAGTCTTTAGGGGATCAGGGACAGAATGTTACAGTTTAGATCAAAAATAGTCCTCAAAGTATCACGTGCTTAGGTGACTGGACTGTGAGACCCTAGAGCTGACTTGCCGTGAGGAGGTGGGGTTTGGGTGGGGAGGTGGGTGGCTGTGGACACAGCCCAGAAGAACACCTCCTACTTCCTGGCTCCTTCCTGGACCCTTTGCTTCTTGGCTGCCATGAGAGGAGCAGTTTTCCTCTTCTATGCTTCTCTGTCATCCATTGTGGCTTGGAGCCAGCAGTCTATAAACTGAAAACATGAGCCAAAATAAACCTCTCCTCCTTAAATTGTAAGTGTCAGGTACCATGCCCAGCAATAAGAAGATGCCTCAGACAACATGCCCCAACCCAATCCACAGAAAAATTGTCCCCTATAAAACCTTCTGTCTATTGCTAGCCAGGGCCGCAGAGTTTAGGTTTTTGTCGTGGAAGCCACCTACTACTGGTACACATTTCTATATTAATTAGAGTAACTCTTGAAAAAGGCGCCCCTCAAAAAATAGATGTATATAGTACCTTCATATCAAAGAAATTTGTTTCTCTCTTATCTCACAGTGCAGAGGTAACCAAAGAGACTCTGCTACTGGGATGTATCTCCCCTCTGGGCTCTTTCTAGCGATTCTGTTATCATTTCCCAGCCAGCAAAAATTGTTCTATAAAAATAAAATATAGAAGATACCCATAGAATCTGGCAGGAACTTAGTCTTGTTACTATGAAGGATGTTGTGAAATAACTGTGTGCCTTGATGATACTTAGGAATCTCATGACTGCAAGAAGAAAAGGGGTCCTAGGAGATAATTAGCAATCTCTGCCACTTTGATAACCAAAGTTACAACTGCCTGATGTCACTTCTCAGAGGTAAAACCACATCCAGAACTATCTTCCAGTGTTGGCAATGAATGTAAAAACTCCTGGTCTTGTTCGGTGCTCTGATGACACACATTTCCAGAGCAAGTCATGAGTTCTCTCCCACGACTTCTTAATTTACTTCATCAATCACGTGCTCACTCATTCTAGCCGCCATTGTTTATTGAATGGCTAACACGTGCCACACAGTTAGTAGGAATACAGAGATAACTAAGACAGACTCCTTTGGAATCTTTATATAAGACTTGTATTTATTTGGATTATCTACACGGAAAATTTCTCATTCTTTCCTAAAAGGCATTAAAAATAATTTTAAAGCAAACAATAGAATGCATACAAGGGAAATGAATTTCTGCTTTCCTCAGTTTGGTGTTATTTACACCAACTGGCCTAACTAGAAATTTTAATTTAATGTAAAATGTGATGAATCATTTACAGAAACAAAAATGTTGGCAATAAGAACAAGTTTCAATCCAATTACACCTACACAGTCTTACTAATCAACTGCTATATTGATATCAGCTTTCCGTCATAAAAATGCAACTGCAACATGAAAAAGACTTTTTCCCTCACTGAAGGACACACGCACACACACACACACACACACACACACACACACACGCCTCCCCCCCCCCCCCCCCGCCTATGGTTGGAATCCTACTTCTGGGCCAACTTCAAAATATTCCTCCAAAGAAACCAGGCACAAAAGATACCTACTGTGTTATTTCATTTGTACATGAAGTATAAAAACAGAAGTCTCCTCTGTGCTGTTAGAAGTGGGAGGGAGTAGAGATGTCCTTGGAGGGGGCTGCAGGAGGCTTCAGTAAGGCTGGTGATATTCTGTGTATGGCTGCTGGCTAACGGTGTGCTCCATTTGTGGGTCCTATGCAATGCCCTGTACTAAAACTTCTGGCAGCAGTTCTTCCTTCATACACTTTAGAAGGCATTTAGAGAATCTCATGAGGCGATAAGCACTGTACCAGCCACTGTGGAGCTTTCACACGTGCTCTTCTCACCTAGGTACTTTTGTATCTTCCCATCAAAACAAGCCAAGCATAATGAGAACGAGGAGGTCCTGTGTGTCCTGGTGTCAGCACAACCTGATATTTGCCTCTCCACGCTCCGGTCTTCAGAACTATATCTACACTCTAGGACTTTCTGCTGGGTAATCCTCTTCTGGTCAAATAATTATGGTTGCTGTTTTTCTCTTTTGTTCGAAAGACGCATTTCTGGCATTCAGAAGACCAAATGAGGGTGACACTCAAAACAAGAATAATTATATCATAACAGATTCATGTGGCTCTTTACCAAAAAATAGGACAGCATGGCTGAATCCTGGTTTATGTTCAGTGCCTGATCATTAGCTTGCCGCAAAGCTTTCTGGGAGGCCTCTCATCCTTCTGGATCATGGCTTTGTTTTTTTATAAATCAAGGGAACTGAACTGGATGATTCCCCACCCAAAATCCTTCTAGAACTAAATTTCTGCCTAGAAGTCAATTTGTTAAAAACTAAAGAAATAGCAGGCCAAGATTCTGCCTTTTGGTACCAGCTTAGTTTTCTTTCTACAGATATTGAAAAGTTATTACAATTTAAATTCAGATTTTAAAATTTCTGTTACCCAGTATGTACTGAACATTACTCTCAGCTGCATAAGATAGATAGGCTACCTCTGCCTTTCAAAGGAGGCAACTGACCAGGAGAAAGCTAAAAGGCTCACTCCAGTGTATGCTGGCGTACAAACCTGAGAGTCAAAAGCTTCATCCTCTCGGCTCCAGCACTTTCCTCTCCCAGCAAAGGCTTGTAATCCTTCCAAAAATCAACAAATAAGCCTAAAGTAAACTTAATCCCAAAGTAAAAATAGTCTTTCTTTTTCTACTTTTTTCCAGTTAAGAAAGAAAAACAAGAATTGGGAGTTTCATTTATAAGGATAAAATGGCGTCTCATTTGTTAAAATTATAAACGATCTACAATTTGTAGGTGATCTCACAATGATGCCAAAGCCCAGACTGTTTGAACACTTGACATACAGCTCTTCATTTGTTACCACACTTCACATCTTACTTGTAAGCTATAAATTCTTTGAGATGTAAAAGATTCCATGTACATGAAGCCAAAGATTGATGAAGATTTTCCCATTCTTTTTACTTATATGCTAAATTATAAGAAATTACAGGTAGAAAATGCAACCAGATGTGACAGCCATTGTCAGCAGCCACATGTGATACGGGGAGTTGTCTCTCTAAAAACATCTACAAGAAACAAAGAAAAATAACTCTAGGGTGAGGCACCATGAACGATGCTATTGGCAAAGGTAGAAATATTTTCAGGGGGCTGAGGGTTTAGCTCCACAGCACAAACTCCTGCTTGGCAAGTGCTAGGTCCTAGGTTAAATTCCCAGTTCCAAAAAAAGAGAGAAAGAAAAGAAATATTTTCAGTGTTGTTTCAACATGATTGACAGTTGTTTTACAAGTCTCCTGCCATGGCCTGACACTTGATCTGCAAAATTCCTTAAAAGACACTGAGCCAGGCCCACACTCATGTATCATACGCTCAACAAAAATGCAAAATGTGCTGGATGTTGCCATTGCTCTCAAGGAGTTGTTAGAGTGGCTAGGGATCACTTAAGTACTTCTAAAAATACGATGGGATCATTTCCCTGGCCTTGTTTCTTGTAGACTCTAGACCATTAATTATTAGTCAAGAAACAGCCATTATAAAAGTTTGCTTTGAGAGAAATTATAATAGTCTTTATCATGTAATCTTTGTGTGCCAAGTCTTCAATTTCTGTTCCCAAATTTGATGTTTGACAGAGCACCAAGATTTTGGGTTAATTCTATAAATAAGGAAACCATTTCTCAATCAGGCATTAAGACCCTGCATATTTGTTTTTCCTGTAGTTATAAATTTAGGGTATGTTCCCACTAAAGTCATGTTCCTGAGTATCTATGCCCTTCCTTAGGCCAGAATGTTGACCTTACTAACTGCAAAAATAATACCTCTTGAAACTGTTTACGTCCAGTAGCACTTTCTAGTGTTCCACGTATCATTTGTTAACCATGCATTCCAAATCTATTATGGCAGACACTAGGAGTTACAAATATAGCATTTAACAAGGGAGCATAGTCCTGCCCCTACAGAAATGACTGTCGAAATGGATTTGGACAGGAACCCTGAGGGCACTAAGCAGGAGGGAAATATAGGGTCCGCTGGAACAGAAATAGAGAAGCATCACCCATAAGCAAGAGTATAGATTCCACTAAATACTCTTTTATGTCTCATCACGCCATAGACATCTGGTGTATTCTGTTAATACTAATAGCATATTCCAAACCAGACTATGGCCTGACTCTTTTACATACATCTGTGAATTGTTTTCGCTTAATTCTCACAACCTCTTGACAAGGTACTTTATAGTCTTGTACCTGTATTACAGATGAAGGAAATGAAACTCAGAGAAGCCAAGTTTGCCCAGAACTTCACAGTTACTAAGTTAGAAGCTTCTTGGAGATGCAGATAGGCCAGCCCAGCTCTTTGGTCTCTGTGACTCTTGCCTCAGCACGCTGAGACACACACTGTGCCCTGCTACCCTCAGGGCCCTCATGTCATCAGTGAAGGTGAATAAAAACATCTCCCCAGAGCACAAGGACTGCTCTTGAAATAAGAACCATATGAATTCAGCTCAAAAAGCAAACTTCAGAAGATGCAGTCCACAATATATATCCAAAGTAGGATTTATTCTACATAAAGGAAATAGCTGCCTCATATTGAGCACCCCTCATACCTGGCACTGGTGCTTCCTTTAAATTAATCTTTCACTGCTTCTCACCACCACCATGCAAGGGAAACAGTATCGCCTCATTTTAGCAGGGAAGAATTGAGGCTAAGAGAAATTGTGTGATCAGCACCAGCAGGAAAGGCCAAGGTTTCTTCCCTATTCTTTTTCCTCTGTCCTTGCACCTAGAAATAACTTCTGTTTGACACACACAAGAAGAGGGAGTGTTTCAGTTCATGCATTTGCCTGGTTTGTGTAAGCTATGCAGCAGGAAACACACCAAAGCAGGGAGCAGCCAGCAGCCTGAGGAATGAGAGGGCACTCCAGCTTCATCCGAGGTCGGCAGGAGCACCCTGCGAGCTCCACAGGCAGAGGGTGCCATGTGGAAGCAGACCACCAGAAAGAAGGGGTTTGCAGGAAGGAGGAGAGGAAGGGGGGCAATGGAGGGAGCTGAACCAAACATCACAGCACAACTAAAGCTGGCGTTCTTCCAACAAGCTCTTTCTTCAACAACAAACATTGCCTAACCTGTCCTACTCAACTCAACCTCTGCTTCTGGCTGCAAAATGCTGTCCAAGGACAAAATGCCAACAATTGAGTTTAACAATCTTAATTGACTTTATGTTTAATTCTAGAATCTAAATTCCTCTGAAGCCGCTAGGGAGACTAAGTAAAAACAAACATTTTATCCCATAATACAGCAAAAGAGGCTGGTTTTATAGACAAAGAAGGACTAAAGAAAGCAGAAAGAAAGAACAAAAAGTAGAGTGCTCATTCCCACTTTACGGTGAGGACAGAGATCCAGATCAATGGAAAAACAACTGATTTCGACCTCAGTTTACCACTATGGTTACCTTTCGTGTGTTGCGGTGGAGGCAGAGAGAACATCAGCGTCACTCCAATCGAAACTGGACTGTTTAGGAAAACTGGCTGTGATAGCTCTCCTGATTTAGGGAGAGGGAAAGTCACGTAGCATCTTAGTTTCAGTTTGGTGACATAGATCTTTAGCATTTATCATTCCATTTTGCCTTTTAGTTTGATCTATTTGGGCCCAGAGCAAGAATTTAGCCTAGCACAATCACCTCTACAATGTTTATTTAGCAGTATCTTGAAAAATAAAACTATGAACCAGGACTTTATGTCCAAGATTTCAGGACTGGATGTGAAATACATTTTTACCCCTTAAGGTACAAAAAATATTTCTTCAAAGGATAGGCAAAAGATTAAAATTACAATTGTGTTTTTAAACATATACTACATTTTTCATAAGTTTCTTTTCTCCCTCCTCCAACCCCGGGTGATGTGAAAAAATATTAATTATACTAATTAAAACCACACCACAAAACCTGAAGAGTCATTTTATATTAATTTTCACTTTATATTTGTGGGAGACAAGCTATTAGACTTGCTAGCCAGGAAGAAGATAAAGGCAAATGAAACTAACAATATTTGGTTCTCGGTAGCAGCAATGGTTCCAATAAGGACAAAACAAAGGAAAGGATGTGTGGCTGAGTCAAGAAGGTAGTGAGTTGTGTAAAAACCAAAGGGAAGTGAATCTTGGCCTCTCGGCCAATGAGCACAGCTGCAGCCCAGAGGAGCCTCCTAGCATCCTGCTCCCCCGCTCCCGGGGGCTGCCAGGGGGATTAGGTAAATATAAACGTCTCCAAATAACCAGAGACGTGAGAAATTGAAAGCATAGCAAGCTGGAGTAGTCATCAGATGGTATATTTAGGGCAGCTTATTTTGCAAGCTAGAATTACAGAACAGCAAGCACAGTCAATTAAAAAAGTATTTAAGGATGAGTTTCTCTGACGAGAGCGGGTGGCAAGAGAGAGTTGTAATCCATGATGGAGAACCCAAGAGCCCACCAATCCCCAGAAGACCAGGCAATGATTTTAATAAACAGACTCATTCGCTGCCATCACCAACAGCCAGTTTCTATATCCAGGTTAGTTCAAGATTTCAACAAAGGGAAGTTCTTATGAAAGAATTACAAGAACAAGAACTGGGAAGTGTTTAGCAGGAGGAAATTGCCACACAGGGAAAAGGCTACTCTCTGTATCAGTGAGGCTGTATGTGATTTCCACAAAAGAGTGATAACAATGGACAGGACCTTAGAATCAAACTCTAATCCAAATCTCTACATGCAGAGCTGTTTCTAGCCTGTCTGTTCCTCACTCACTGGAATTACTCAGAATTACTATATCTGTTTAGGAGGCTCAATGCTTGTTTTACAGATGAGGAAAGTAAGACTCAGAAGACTGAACTATATTGATAGAGTTGTGCCACTAAGTGCAGCCCTGAAATTGCACACAGTCTGAAGCTGAAGCCTACGCTCTCCCCGCCCAAGTCTTGTTTCGCTATGCAGTCTTTCTTCTGGGTACACTTTGCCTTGCCCATAAGATTACACACTCCGGGCCCAAACAACCGCACACAGGTTCTCCTCCCTGAGCCACCATCCTTACCCCTACATTGCCTTGCATTTTGTGTCACCAAATGCAAACTGAATTGCAAAGAATCAGTAGTTTTCTGGTCTCTTCTATTTTCCCATCATATGTTGCCTCTTGACATTATATAATTGGGATACTGCAACAATTTTTATCATATACAGTGGAAAATTTGTTAATGTCATAAAATGTAATTTTACAGTTGCATGAGGTTCAAGTTGCTGGCTTCATTTAATCAAAAATTTTATCTTAATTTACTATTTTACCAGTCTTCCTCCTCTCTCATACAGTTACAGTGACATAATAATAGCAACCATTTATTGAATACTTACCATGTGTCAAACACTTGGTAAATTATTTTTATGTATTATTTATTTAATCTTTATAATCATTCTCCTCCATTTGTGGATGACGAAACAAAGGCACAGAGGAGTAAGACAAGTTTCCCAAATTCACAGAGCTGAGAAGTGGCAAACCTACATAAAGACAACATTTTCAATAATTCACTTGGTACAATAATAAAAAAAAACTTTTTTTCTATGAGTTCTCTTTTTTCTAATAATTAATAAGGTGTAAGCACCTTGTATGACTTCCCTATTCATAAAAACTCTGAGATTTGTAGTGCTGCCTTTCTGGATCCAGAATTGACTGCATTATACTCTATAACTTTATTTAAATTTGTAACTGTACGACATTACTTAAAGGAGGCCCCCTGCCTCATTTTCCACCTTTCTAAAATGAGAATATGAGTGGATATTGTGCAGAGTAGACTAGTTTATGAATAAAAGCATTTAGGACAGTGCCTGCTGTATGGCTGACCTGCCGCTGCAAGCAACTGTCATTGCTGCCTGGGTCCCAACCTACCTCTCCCAGCACGCTCAAATCCAGATCTGCAGATACCGAGGCACGTTAACTTCTTTCTAGTGCTCAGGGTGTGCTTTAAAACAAATTATCTTGACAAGTATAAAAGAAATATTTCTAAATGAAAGCCTCTACCCTTTATAAAATATAATTGCATCTAAAACAGTGACTGGCATTGGCACCTAATATAAATATGTAGCATGAAGTCACCTAAAAAGCTATTAAGTTCACATCCAATATAAGAGAATCTCAGGGAAATCTTATTGAGAACTGAGGAAGGAAGTTTATGGTCAAGTTTTTATTTTATCCTTAATTTCCCACGGTTTTCAAAGAGCCGTACTATAATTCTTTCTCAAACATTTGCAAGGAAGTATGGTAATTGTGAAAATAGATGCTCTGAATACCTAAGCTAAATATTTACATTCTGTCTTTTTAAACAATTGACTTTGTTCTTTAGCATTTAGGTCAAAATAGTTAAATATTTTAAAACATCAATAAAAGAGGATATGGTTTTTCACTCGGCAGTCTAAATTTAACAGGTTTCAGCAAAAGCTTCACAAGAAAGACTCAGGATCTTAAAAATGTTCATGCACACACACCTTCCCGTGAAAGGGAGAGAAGGTGCTGGCCACTTACTCTTTTTAGCACAAAGCACTTCCCTTCCACTTCCCTACGTTTATAAATTAAGCATTTATATCCACTTACCTCATTAAAACAATAACCTCAACTGGCTGGCTTTAAGTAGACTTTACCCCCAAGGAGTTTTGGAGGTTGGCACACATTAGTTTATTCATTTCTTGGCATCTCTGTACGTAAGCATTGACTGGCATCTTATCTTTATTACACAAAATTAAAACTGGATGCACTAGGAAATGTGACTTGCACAAAGGAGATAAAGCCATGTAGCTATTAACTTAGAAAATTTGGCTTTAGAACTCTTATCTTCTCTTAATACAATAGAGGTTCCTCTTTGTTGAATTATTCTTTTATTTACATAAATTTAAGAAGTTGCAATGGGTAGCTGAGCTGACTACTTAGGCAAACTGCAGGAAAACGTTTTGAGGTTAGGTTAACCTGACCCAAGAGTAGCTCTGAGACCTGAGTGGGAAAAAAAAGCAACCCTGAAGGAATTATCCACATGGAGATCTGACTTCCATGACCACCATGTAAATCATCACTAGCAGGACAACAAAATAAAATTATACAAGAAAAGATGAGAAATGTGAGTGTTTGATAATAACTTCTTTCTGCATTGGCTTCATTGGGAATTCCTGCTGGGACTCTGTGCTACAATCTGGGTTCTCCCGAGTCACTGGAAATACTTTCGTGGGTACTAGAAGACAAGGTTCTTCAGCAGGCAACACAAGGCAAGTGGCTCTGTGTGTGTATATCCACTCACACCAAACTGGTGGCATTTATGAGACTTTGAACCTTCCTTAGGAATGAAGCCATATAAATGTCTTTTGCTACAAAAACCACAGGAACACATTTAGATTCCCACGGTTATCTCTCTCAAACCTGAACTGAGCCCAGGACTGAGTCACTGTCTTTCCACTACAGGTCACATTACTCGTGGAAGGTTCCACCTGTTCCAATATTTGGTAGATGACAACATTTGCCCTTGGGAGCTGAGTGACAGGGCCAGATGAGCAGGCTTCCATAACAACTGTGACCAAGACCAAGATAACCAGCCCCCTGCACAGGGGATTACAAAGGCAACACTGCCAAAAGAGGGCGTTCCAACAGGTACCTTTGCTCCAAGGTCTTAGAGGTTACCCAGAGTTGAGCAAGATATCAGTTTAAACAGTGACAAGAGAGGGAGTCGACTTAAACTACAAGAGAAGGAATGCAGGCCTGGTACTTTGAGGAATTCTGAGCATGTTGAGGCAAACAAAGAAAAAAGAAAGAACAGACCACATAGATCTGTATGTACACACTGGAAGGAATACCCATCGTGAGCCTTCCCAATGTGAGCAGTTTCTGGAAGGAAACATCCTTTAGCTGCCTTTGAGAGAAAAAAAGGACAAAATGCTTCTCTACCATTTCAAAAGACCCTCACTCCAACCCTCCACAATGAACCATCACTGCCCTGTTGTTAATGAGTTGCTGCATTCCACCTAATGCCTGTTTCTCCCACCACAGCTTTTCACTCCACTCAACTTTTTGAAAGTGTCGCCCCTCCTCCCCATCTCTCACCAGTGCATGAAGTGAGGACTCTGCTTACTTATTAACCAGCTAAACAATGGACAGAGTTTTATCAGTCCCTTCTCTTCTGAACCTTATATATCCTACAGACAAGGGGAATGTCAGGGTAGGATACAGTCAAACAGTACTTTAAGAGAAACTCAAAGGACCTGGGGTTTTATCTTGTCTTTGTCACTTGCAGTCTGTGTGGCCTTGTCTTGGTAAAGCAGAGGCTCTCCACCTGCTTTCTCCTCACACCTGCTGGTGTCTCCCTCTTGGTGTTCTAATAAAAAGGGGTGTGGCATTTGGCACACAGTCCCTCTTCCTCCTGCACCTAGGTGGTGTCAATAAGCAACACTTCCTCCAGTCACTAATGCTCCAGGTTTCATGTCACTCCATGAGATGATCAAGGTGAGCAAATTTAACAACTTGTTTAAAAACAGCCTTTTTAAAGTATCTACATGTATTAGTACTTCTCTGTCTCTCTTCTGTCTCTGTCTCTGTCGCTATCTCTCTCACTCACTCTCTCTCTCTCCCTTTCTCTGTGTGTGTATGTGTGTGCGTATTTCATTAACAGTGTTCACTATATAAGAGATTTAGCTCAGTGGCATAAGCGCCTGCCTGGCAAGCACAAGGTCATGAGTTTGAGCCCTAGTACAAAGAAAAAAAGAAAAGTAGTCACTATATGAGAAGATTCGTGATTGGAGATAATCATTTCAATTCAGGAACTGTTAGTGAATTTTACTGTAGTGTGGATGTAAGGTATTGTACAGCATGTCAGCCTGTCTGAATTGTCTGTGATTCTCTTGACACCTTTGCTCAAATACTAGTAACATGGATATTGACATGGTATTAAAACATCTGTATAACACCAGAATGTGCAGTATCATCACAGTTCTGTTTTCCTGGATAAGGAAGATGTAATGGCTGGGTTTTCATTAGATGATACTCACAGTCTTTTTTATGGGCTTTTGTCTTTCATGAGACTTTGAGATCATAGGAAATAGTAAGCAAGAAAAGATGCATGTGTGAATATATTTCCATAGTCAATAGGAGAAATGTCGCAGGAAAATGGAAGAGTTCACTATAAATCCCAAAGATAGGTTTTTGAGGTTAGAAAAAAGAGAGCGCAGAATTTCTGAACACCAGGCATGGAGTCTTCCTCATTCTGTGCAACACACATATCCAAAGGGGTCTAGTGGCTCTTCCCCATGTTGCACCAGGGTCGGAGGTTACCCTGGTCCTCAGCCCCTGTAAGCTTTGTAAGTATCACAGAATTTTGCCTAAGATCACATGGTTAGTGAGAGAGAAAGAACAAGGACTGAGGCCTCGTTCTCCTTCCTCAGCAAGGCCCTTCCCCAGACACAGACATGGCACAGGACTCCACCCCACACTCCACACAGAACCCTGGGCTGAACATGCTTGTTCATTCAGCAAAAATGTACTAAGAACTCACCTAGCATGCTAAGCCCTGTAGAGGTAGCAAGTTCTCATAGCTAAGAAATGTGAGCTCCCCTCCCTCCCACAAAAAAAAGATCAAAAGTCAAAATCAACAGGTACAAGGGTGAGGACAAGCCTCGGCAGAGGTGTTCACACTGGCCAGACCTGGGCATACAGTCTGACTATCCTTCTCACCAACTGGATGACCTTGGGCTTCTGGGTTCTCTTGTGAAAAATTAGGAAAAAGAAAATTCCAGAGTTGGTTTGTGAGGGTCAAGTGAAATGATGGTTTTTTGTTTTTGTTTTCATAACATAGTGTCATCAAACAAAGTCCAATAAGTAAGGGATTCAGTAATGGCAGTAATCTATCTCCACCATTCAACAAATGCAAAGGGACTGAAAAAATAGTAGCAGTTGTAACTGGAACTGAAAGTGGGAGACCTGTTTACGGTCCTTTTCTCTTCATTCTCCCCTTAAATGATCTGTGGATACTCACACTCTGGCCATGTGTGCCACACAAAAGGGGACAGCTGTTGGTGAGCTGCAAGGAGCCTTGAAAGGCTTTGCTTAGTGGTCCCATCTGCTAGGGGACTTCTTAATTCTCTCCTTTTTCTTCTCCCTCTCCCTCTATCTATTTCTTTTCTCTCTCTCTCCCTCTCTCTTTCTCTCTCTCTGTCTCTGTCTCTGTCTCTCTCTCCCACTTTTATCTCTCTCTTCTTTTATCTCTCTCTCTCTTGCTCTTTGTCTCTGTCTCTCTCTCTTCTTTCCTCTCTCTAAACCATCACTTTTAAATTCCTTAGAGTAAATGAGTCATCTACCAGTTCCAACTTGTGCATATTCCTGCACAATACAATTCAGAACCCTCGCATATTAATTTTTAACTAATAGTAAGACATCAGGCTATCATGAGAATTACTAAACTGAAAAGCCAAAAGGAAAGAGAAGAGTGTGGAGACCTTTTTCATAGACTCCCTCTAGCCACAGTCGCTATGCCTTGTTTCCCTCATGCTAATGTAAGCCCTGCCTGTGGAGCAGCCAGGGAGCCTGATCATCGCACACTCTCCCAGGGAGGTAGGATGCTGGTAAACATGGAAACATAAAGGTAGTTTGGGCTAAATAAAGACAGTGTCAGTGTCGAGACAGGAGGGCATCTAGAAGACTGGCGGTTAGCAGCACGACCATCAGGAGAGAAGCACCTGTTTGGAAAGACATCAAGGGGAGAGAGTTGTGAAGGGCAGTGGCGTGATGAGTGAAGAGATGATTTCAGAGTAGACAAGACATAGCAAAGCAATGACACCAAGAGATAACAGAGAAGGTGACTCTTTAGGAGCAAAGAGCAAAAATGAGGGAATGTGCAAATCCTTCTAGGACACCTTGGCATTCACCAGCAAAGGGAAACAGTGAAGTAAATCTGATTGGAAGGCAGACATAAAGCATATTGCCCAGTCGTGCTATGGCATGTTATCTGTATAAATTAATTAATCAGATTTGTACTTATATTTGTCACCAATGAGAATAGGAATGTCCCAGTCCCAAGGCCAAACACATTATGTCAAAGGACAGAACCAACTTCCATGCACTATATAGATCACTAAGGCAGAAACCACCAAGGTTAATAACAAGACTCTTTTTCTTTTTACCACTGTTATAAGAAGGGCCAGGAATATCCATCAATGGTGCAGTACTCATCCTGCACACAGGAAGCCCCGAGTTCAGGCCCCAGCAATCCCAAAAATAAAAATCAAAAAATCTTTTAAAAAGTAATGGACACCAGAGAACTACAGAACCACTCCAGTTTAATAAAAATTATTTTTTTCTAAATGTTCTTATTACCATGTCTTGGCCAGTTTTAACAACTGTGAAGTTTGTATTTTTGTGTTCTGTACAATGATGTCTAGTAAAACAATACGATGTTGTCAGCGGATACTTTTATAAATACTTGTCAACTAAACTCATCATGTTTGTTTTGCAGATCACAAGACTCACATGCAAATCTCTTTTGAGAAACTTCACCTTCATACCTTGAGGAAATTCCTGATCCTCACATGGGTAATGATATATACACAACAATAATTTTCTCTTTCTCTCTCTCTCTCTCTCTCTCTCTCTCTCTCTCTCTCTCTCTCTCTCTAGCTTGCTCGCTCTCTCCCCCCCACACACACATCTTTTTCTTTTTTTTGGTACCAGGAATCGAACTCACAATCTTGCACTTGCCAGGCAGGTGCTATGCTGCTGAGCTATATCCCCAGCCCTGTGCAATAATTCTCGTCTAGCAGGCTCTCTCAATGTGACAGGTATTATTCTAGTGTTTTACTAGTCCTCTCCACCACTAAGTGATTAAGGAATTCATCCTGTGATAAGGCAGGTGTTGTTACAATTGAGAAAATAGGGACTGCGAGAAGAAAAGCTATTTTCTTAAATCAAATAATTAATGCATCACTGAGAGACCACTGCAGTTCAGCTCTGTCACACTGTGGTTATTAGGTCTCACTCAAAGAACAAGAGAAACTACACCAAAAAAAAAAAATCTCTTAAGCCTGCACCTCAAGTTTTAAGGGGATAGGGTATCTTTATTGATATTTCTGATAAAAAATTAAATTACGTACAAAGTAAATACACCCCAACAGTGACCACACAAGATTGAGACTAGAGTGTTAATCCAACTAAAAGCTTTTCCCTCTCCATCGCCCAAGAAGCAGTGATTGAATGATTTCTTCCAGTTTCCCAAACATCTCCATGCACGTGCCAGGAGGTTTAAACCCAATCAGGCTGGACGTGGTTGCAGAATGAGGTCTCACTGAATTGCTCTTAATAACCAAAAGCAAGCTAACTCACAGGGACCAGACCACAGTGTCCTGCAGACACCTGCCACTCACAAGCACTGTGGATCATGGGACCAGCCGCCTCCCTGCCCTCCCTCCAGGCCTGGCCCACCTCCAATGGGAATAACTGCGGCTGGAGAGCAAGCAGCCAACTTCAACAGCAGCTTCAGCTCTCACAGCACACTGGCTCCGTGCTGCTCAGGATGGCGCCCTGGCTTGCCACAGAAATAACATCAGCCTCTGCACAGCAGTAGGGAATGGCCAGTGTGCTCACACTGTTGTTTCTGGAAGTGTTGGCAAGTCTGGACCTCAGGAAACATGAGGCCCCACAAGGCCTCAAAGAGCCCCTTGTTGAAACAGAACTCTGCTTCTCTTTCCCCATCGCACTGCAAGCCTGATACCCACTGCTCTTGTACCCCACTCATCTCCTTATCTGAGCTCCAGGAAAACCACAACCCCTGGCTTGAGCTCCACTGGGACAGCAACACCACAGAGGAGATGCTTTGAGCTGAGTCAGACACTCAGAGCAATGTGCAGAGAACAAGTTAAATAAGAAAATGTATATGGAAGACTGGGCGAGGTCTAAGGCATGGCAGAAGTGTGACTTTATGATTTAGGGAAAGATGGAAGGCGGATCAGGAGCTGATAGCTCAGCCTAGAGGGAGCCAGGGCAATGCCGTTCTTAATAGAAAGATGTTAAAAATCTAAAGAAAGGGGAACTAATCTTTGAAACACTTCACCTTGTTGTTGTTGTTATTTATCTTTATTGTTGTTCATCTGCATCGTTTTTTGAAACAGGGTTCTTACTATGCAGCCTACTTTTGAACTCACTGTGAGGCCTAAGCTGGCGGAAAGCTACTGAACTCGGGATCCTCCTGTTTCAGCCTCCAGAACTCTGAGATAATAGGTAGGTGCTCACCACGCCCAGCTCTCATCCCTCTTACATGAAACACAACTGTAAAGTTCAAAATCAATTTTCTTTCTATACCTAGAAATACTTACCAAACTACAAATTTATTTGGATCTCTAATATCATTCTGCAGCCCCTCTTCCCAAACACCTTCCTTCTATTACTATATTACTAGTTTTGTTTCAAGTAATGATAATTCACCTTTAATTTTTCCTCTTCTTTCCCAGCTTAGGGCAATAAATAAATAAATAAATAAATGGACAATGTAGAGCTTTGTTTGTTTCTTTTAAAGGCAGAGCATGTAAACTACATTAGTCAGCTTTCCCACCACTGAAACACAATACATGACACCCACAATTTAAAGGGGATCTAATTTGGTTATGGTTTGAGGATTCAGTCCATGGTCAATTGGCTCCAAGGCAAGATCATGGAGTAAGGGTGTGGGGGAGCATAGATGCTTATTGCATGGTGACTAGAAGCAAGATCAAGAGAACAATAACAGAGGAAGGGGTGAGGTACCCAGATATGGTATCTAAGTCACACCTCCGTGACCCATTCAGATACACCAAAATTATGCTTTATTAATTCCCTGAGGACTGCCAAGCCAATCAAATTGACATAGTCAACCAGTACATCCCACCCCATGTAAACTCGACATATTTAAACCATATATACTCTTTTTTTTTTTTTTTTTTTTTTTTTTTGTCTTTTTCCTTTTTATCGGTACCGGGGATCGAACTCACGACTGCCTGCTTGCAAGGCAGGCGCTTATGCCACTGAGCTAAATCCCCAGCCCCCAATACTCTTTAAACAAACACAATAAATTATTCCACCTAACAAGATACAACTATCACAATAATCACAATAATCCCTTGCCAAAGTCCTAACAGTTCCAGCATTTTTCAAAAGGGTAAGTCAAAGTCTCTTCTAAGACTCAAGGCAAACTCTTAGATGCGAACTCCTGTAGACGTCAAAAAAGAGTTACATAATCCCAAATTATAAAGGAACAAGGTAAATATTCTTATTCCAAAAGAGAAGAGTAGGAGACAGAAACAAATCAGACCAAGACAAGACTGAAAACCAGCAGGGTAAACATTAAATCCTACAGCTCTGTCATAGTTTGTGTCTGGATGTCCCCTCAAAGACTCATACAGCCATGAGGAGTGGACGTTTTAAAGGAAGCTAAATCTAGAGTTTGTGATTGATTCATGGTGCAGTGCTGGGATTAAGGGTGCAAATGCTATACCCACCCAAGGCTGGTAGCCTGCATACAACATAAGGAATAGAAAGAGTTTTGCTTCTCTCTCTTCTCTCACCCTTTTATTGCTTTTGCTGTCTTCTGGCACAATGAACTGTTGCTCCTCATCATGAGCCACCCTGCCTACAAGCCAATGGGTTATGGACTAAAACTTCTACAAACTATGAACCAAATAAATCTTTCCTCCTTTAACTTTGGATGGCAGGTAATTTATCTCAGCAACAAGATAAAAGTAATTAAGACAAACTCCATATCTGGCAATCAGGGCACATGGTGATAAAATGCAAATTCCAAAGGGTGGCAGCTGCATCCATATTGTCTTGCTGTTGTAACCCATATGGCCTCTCTCTCTCTCTCTCTCTGAACTAACTCCACTCATTGCTTGCAGCTTTCTTGGCAAACGTCTTATGTTTCTGAGTCTCCAGTTTCCTGGTGTCTCCATAGAACCTTCAGCTTCATTTCCACAGGCTTGGTGCTACACACTCTTTAACTCCTGATCCTTCTGCTCTGTTGGGGTATCCAACCTGCATGACTGGCCTTCCTATCTGTAGGCTCACTCTCTACCAGCTTCTCTACCCATCCATCCAACACCAGAGCAGTACCCCAAATTTTAAATCTCTATCTTCTCTGTATTATAGTCTGCTTTCTCTTGCTGTGACAAAAATCTCTAATGTAAACAACTTACAAGGAGGAAAATTTTATCTACTCATACTTTTAAAAGGTCTCAGTCCATGATCACTTGGTCTTATTACTGTTTTTGAACTTGTGCCAAGGTAGAGAGTATCATGGTAGGAACCAAGTGGTAGGAGAAAGCTGCTTACTTCAAGGCAACTGAGAAGTAAAAAGAAAAATAGGAATAGGGCAGAGTCCTGATATCTCTTTAAGGGCACACGTCCAACAACCATACCTTCTTCTGCTAGGCCCTACCTGCCAAAGGTTTCACCACTTCCCAGGAGTGCCACAGGCTGGCAACCAAGCACGTGTGTTTTGGGAAGATATTCAAGATCTAGACCATAACATTCTCTCTCTTAAACATTTTCAGTGTCAACACATTACTTAGAGAAATCGTGCCTAATTTTTTTGGACATCTGATTAAAACTTGGGTCACTTTGATTTACTTCTTGAAAGCAAATCACCCCACAGCATTAATTCCTGACAACTCTTACCTAGAGTATAGGTCTCCAAAGAATGTGCACTAGATAATCCACAGTGGCTCAGAAAAACAATATTTGCATTTGTTTTCCTTATCCTTAACTTTTAACAAGACTAAAAAGGAAATAATGGGAAAATGACTTAGGTGCAGTCAGGTTATTATATAGGGTGATGACTACCCTCGCAGTGTTCATCACTGACACATCTAAATTCCGCTAAGGAAGAAGAAGATTTCACTAGAAACTGGCAGGGTAGCTTCACTCACTTCCTCTCCTTCACTATATAGGAATGAATTGCACCCTATCTGATAAAGGATGCCATTAATGGTTAACTTTATAAAACTAAGCCCTTCATAAAGGAGATTCTTGGCAATTCTAAGTTAGATGGAAAAATGTATACTCCACACTAATACACTAGGTTTTTTGTGTCAAAAGACCTGAAATAGTTATCCAACTAAAAGCTGACTCTTCCCTTTTTCCTTTTATAAAAACAAAGATCCCAATTTGCCTAATTTTCTTGTGATGACTAGTGGCAGCCAGGACTATGCAAATGTCTTCAGAAAAATAAATATATTTAGTAAGTTTCTACAAGGTAAAGATGATATTTTAACAGTGAATGAGAAAGTAGCTGCTTTTCTAAACCAATTTGCTATTTTGAAAATAAGTGTGGCAGGCAGCCTCTGATCACCTCTGCTGATCTCGCTTCCTGGTATCCGTGCTTTTATGTGATTTCCTGCACTTGGTGTAGCTGCACTTGTTGGCCCTCCAACAAACAGAATATGGGAAAAGTTACTTCTGAAATGGTACTTCATAAAGGCTAGAGTTTCTTTCTTACTCAATCTTTCTTTATGGAGGCGAAGCCAGGCGCAAAGTCTACTCTCTTTGGCCAACAGACATGAAACATATCAGGCCCATCAACAGGTCATGAGTGAATTTAGAAGCAGATCCTTCATCTCTCTGGCCTGGCCAACACCCCAACTACAGCATTGTGAAATCTTGAGACAAAAGAACACAGCTGAGCCACTCCTTGAATCCTGATCCAGACAAACTTTGACTACTGAATGTCTGCTGTTTTGAGATACTAATTTTGGGGATAATTTATTACATCAATAATTCATATGTTTGGAGAAACATTTCCCTATCACTGAGCTAATAGCTAGAAATAAGGTGAATGTGCCTTATTTAAAAATAAAAACATCTCTGCTCAATAAAAAAATACAAACAGAATTTCATAATATTTTTTAAAATATTCCAGATTTTGCCAATTGTTAGAAATATTAAGCATCTTCCAAAGAGTGTACAAAATGACTAAATGGCATCAAGAAAGATGAAAAGTTATTAATTAAATGTCAAGAAATGATCATGTCATCTGAAAATAATGATAATTGGATTTCTCTCTTTTCTACACATCTCTTTTTCTTTCTCTTGCTTGATTGCTGTAGCTAATGTTTTGAGTTCTATATTGAACAGGAGCGGTGATAGTGGACATCTTTGTTTTGTTCCTGATTTTAGAGGAAAAGTTTTCAGCTTTTTCCCATTTAATATGACACTGCCCACTGACTGCATACAGTGTGTTAAACCATCCTTGTACCCCTGGGATAAACCTACTTGATCATTTTGTATGATCTTTTTGAGGATTTGCTGTATTCTGTTTACTAGTATTTTGTTATAGATATTTGTATCTATATTCATTATTGATATTGGTCTATAGTTTTCTTCTTTAGTTACTCTTTGTCTGTTTTTGGAATCTTGGAAGCTGGCTTCCAGGAACACGTTTGGAAGCACCCCTTTCATTTCAATTTCACTGAAGAGTGTGAGAAGTATTGGTGTTATTACCTCCTTGAAGGTACTGCAGAATTCATCAGTGAATTCATCAGGTCCCGGGCTTTTCTTAGTTCTTAAGTTTTTAATCCTGCATCAATGTCATTGCTTGTTATCGGGTTGTTCTAAATTTTTATGTCTGCTTTGTTCAGTTTTAGTAATTCATATATCTAGTAACCTGTTTCTTCAAGACTCTTCAATTTGTTGGAAGATAATTTTTCTTAGTAATTACTGACTATCTTCTGGATTTTGGCAGTGTTCAGGGTAATTACACATTTTTCATTTCTAATTGTCTTGATATGAGTCTTATCCCCCCTTCTTTTGGTAAATTTGTGTGTTAGTTACTTTTCTCATTGCTGAAACAAAATACCTGACACCCAAATTAAACATGGAAAGGTTTATTTTTAGCTCACAATTGATACAGATTTTAGTCCATAGTTAGCTGGTTCTAAGGCATGGTGGCATGGCAGAGGGGCATGGCTGAGAGAAACAGTCCATAGCAGAGTAGGCAGGAAGCAACAAGCCTGCCATCTTTCTGTCTCTGTATATTCCATCCAGGCTATAAACCTATTTATTAGCACTACTAATTCCCAAAGTGGGGCTTTCCTCTTTAGTAAATTCATTCAGCTATATAGAGAACTATGTCTAATCCAACTAGGAAACTAATCCAGATATCACATACCCTAAACCCAGCCACTTCCAAAAAGCCCCAATGATGAGTGCATGAGGCTTTAGAAGGAACATCTAGATACAAGCCATAACAGTTTAACTAAGAGTTTATCTCTTTTGAGTATTCATTCAAGAAAACAACTCTTCAATTCATTGATTCTTTGTTCATTTTTGCTATCTCAATTTTATTAATTTCTGCTCTGATCTTTATGATTTCCCCCTTAAACTAGGATCTGGTTTGGACTGTTGTTGCTCAAGCATCTTGAGGTTCATCATTAGGTTACTTATTTGGGCTCACTCAGATTTTCTAATGCAAGCATTAGCTGCAATAAACTTTCCTCTTGTGA